AAGAAGTTTTTTTTTTCTTCTGAGACAGAGTCTTACTCTGTTGCCCAGGCTGGAGTGCAGTGGTGCGATCTAGGCTCACTGCATCCTCTGCCTCGCAGGTTCAAGCAGTTTTTCTGCCTCAGCCTCCCAAGTAGCTGGGACTGCAGGTGCATGCCACCACGTCCAGCTAATTTTTATTTTTCAGTAGAGATGGGGTTTCACCATGTTGGCCAGGCTGATCTCGAACTCCTCAAGTGATCCCTCCGCCTTGGCCTCCCGAAGTGATGGGATTACAGGCATGAGCCACCACACCCAGCCTAAGAAGTTTTATTTTCTATACCTTCTTCAGCTCTGTTAATTCTGCAACCCACTGAAATTAAGCTTTTGTTCTTATTACTTTACTACATCTATTCACAAAAATGCCTAATTACCAAATATAATCACCTATTTTCAGTCCTTATCTGAATTTTTTTTCCTATCTTGTCCTTTTGGGAACTCCTGACTTTCTTTCCCACTTTCATATACTGAGTGAGACAGGGGTCCCCAACCCCTGGGCTGCAGACCAGCACCAGTTCACGGCCTGTTAAGAACCAGGCCGCACAGCAGGAGATGAGTGACTGGCAAATGAGCATGACAGCCTGAGCTCTGCCTCCTGTCAGATTCACAGGCATTAGATTCTCATAGAATCACAAACCCTATCATGAACTGTGTATGCAAGGAATCTGGGTTGCATGCTCCTTACAAGAATCTTAATGCCTGATGATCTGATGAAACAGTTTTATCAACAAATCATTCCTACCTCCGGAACCACACCCCCTACCAGATCCATTAAAAAATTGTCTTCCACAAAACCAGTCATAGGGCCAGAAAAACAGAAGTGAGGCTGGGCACGGTGGCTCACCCCTGTAATCCCAGCACTTTGGGAGGCTGAGGTGGGCAGATCACTTGACGTCAGATGTTCAAGACCAGCAGGCCAACATGGTGAAACCCTATCTCTACTAAAATACAAAAATTAAGGCCGGGCGCGGTGGCTCAAGCCTGTAATCCTAGCACTTTGGGAGGCCGAGGCGGGTGGATCACGAGGTCAAGAGATCAAGACCATCCTGGTCAACATGGTGAAACCTCGTCTCTACTAAAAATACAAAAAATTAGCTGGGCATGGTGGTGCGTGCCTGTAGTCCCAGCTACTCAGGAGGCTGAGGCAGGAGAATTGCCTGAACCCAGGAGGCGGAGGTTGTGGTTGNAAAAAAAAATTAGCCGGTCATGATGGTGGGTGCCTGTAAGTAATCCCAGCTACTCGGGAGGCTAAGGCAGGAGATTGCTTGAACCTGGGAGGCGGAGGTTGCAGTAAACTGAGATTACACCATTGCCCTTCATCCTGAGTAACACAGCGAGACTCTGTCTCAAAAGAAAAAAAGAAAAAAAAAAAACCAGCAGTGAGCAGGTAAATCAAGCTTCTGCCCTCATAGAACTAACGGTGGGGGTATAAACATTCACTGAAGAATCAGACTTTCATTTCCATCAATATAACAGACTAGACATTCTGAACAATTATTCTACTATAAAACACCGAAAACCACCAGCTTGAATATAAAAAGCAAAAAGCATGAATCCAAGAAACATATGGCTGGAATTGGTGACCGCTGTAGGGGAATCTACCAAATCTTCAATGACAGAGCATCAACTTTAATGATTTCTTGGGCACAGACTCCACTGTTAATGAAAGGGTAAACTAGTAAATACCAACCTTGAAAAAAGAGACAGCCAGGAAATGTCCTTACTTCAATCTTGGCTCTGAATCGGGGGTAGAAGTGAGGCGCTGTGGGAAGACCTCCCTGGGAATTCACAGGCTAGTCTTCATGAGTTTATAGTCTAAGTTTAAACTATCTGAATAGACAGAAACACTTCAAGCCAATAATTTATTTTATTTACTTATATACTTACTGAGATGGAGTTCTCCCTCTGTCGCCCAGGCTGGAGTGCAGTGACGCCATCTCGGCTCACTGCAAACTCTGCCTCCCAGGTTCAAGCAATTCTCCTGCCTCAGCTTCCTAAATTGCTGGGATTATGGGCGCCCACCACCATGCCCGACTAATTCTTGTATTTTCAGTAGAGATGGAATTTCGCCATGTTGGCCAGGCTGGTCTCAAACTCATGACCTCAAGTGATCTACCCACCTTGGCATCCCAAAGTGCTGGGATTACAGGCGTGAGCCACCACACCTGGCCAAGCCCAGAATTCATTTTAAAGTAGTTACAGGCTGATGGTAACCTAATTATCAGGCACTGCAGAGAACCAA